TGAAACTGCCAGCACATAAAATTACTCCCAACTGACTTAACTGTAACTGATGTTAGCTAGATCAGGCAGTGGTCCTCATCCAGCATGAATGTCATCTGCAATTATAAATAACCAATCATGGCAAACCAGCTCCTGCAAAGCACCAGGAAAAATCCAAGCTTCAAGGGGCTAATAGCAACGTCTGCAGGCATCCAACTTCAGTCAGATTTCTGCTCTCTCACCAGATTTTATTTCTGCCCTTAAGGGCCTGGGGTGGGGACAGTTGGTGCTTTCTCTTCTCTCACACATACCATTACCTAATGCCTTCCAAAGAGAACTGCAGAACTGTTCTACTGCCTAAGGCACAAGGCATAACCCTGATGCTTTGGCCCTCACTTTGCCGACATGTGTCTTCATTTTACATCCTCCACTTCCTTTTCTCTTCTCCTCCCCTACCCCCAAGCTTTTTACAACTGCAGCAAACCCTGTGAGTGAATTCTAGCCTTTATATTTACCCCAGAGTCACCAGCAGCCTCCAGATAACAAAAACAATGATGCCATTTATCACTCTCATGACACAACAGTGACCACAGTCTCTTTGCTTTGCCTCTCGAAGTATTGAACACAATGTGAAAAGGAAGGTTTACTCATGGTTCTTCAATATACCTGTCCAGCACGTGCTTTGCTTTGTGCCTGAGTAGCAGAAGGTCACAGTTTTGCAATCCAATCCCCTGTTCAACCTCCAAGCAACACTATTAGGGAAAAAGGGCTCCAACCAGGCAGGTCAGGTTGCAAAAACTGAGCCTGCATCTCTCCCTGGGAAGCAAGAAGTATGTACAGCAAGCTCAGTCCAGCCCTTCTCTTCCAGACAACTTTATAGGAGGAAAAAAAAGAAGGGTGGAGTAGATTTTCTTCCTATTCCAGGCCCTGAATGTTTAGCATACGGGGCCATAACATTTCCCTCACTGGCCAAGGGAAAATCTGTCTGGTGCAGATACTGTACCAAAAAGGTCTGCAGAGGCCCTTATAAATCCCAGCATGGGTAGGCTTGAAGCCAGAAGGAAAATCCTTGTGTTATCTACAGACACATGGGTTCTTAGCAGCTACAGATGGTTCCAGGTAGTTGAGCAGCTTCTTTACACTGGGCCTTGCAGCAGCCTCCACTGATGATGTTCAGAAACCTCAGTTCCACTGTGCTTTATGTCAACCCCTCCCACCCCCTGGTCATCTTATTTCCAATGCAGATGCAGTACACAGGAGATGACATCTCCCATGTTTCTTTTCCAGCATGGTATAAGTCCTAAACTCATCAGGTCAGGGGGAGGAAAGGACATGTCCTGTGGCTGCATCAGAGGTATATTCTAACTGGGCTTCTTTGAGTGCAAGGAGAGCTAGAAAGTGACCACTGCCCTCCCCTCTACTCAGGCTAGACCAAACCTGGTCCTGTGATCAGCTGTCAGAGTCCAACTTATCAGCAAAACCTCTCTGTCCAAATGTACTCCTTGCCAATTTTTACATGAACCAGTTCCAGCCTCTGGGAGAAGCCAGCCCAAACCTCTGGCAAACACCTCTCTCAGCAATGGGAACTGCATTTCAGCTGATCTGCAAATTCTTCCTATTTGTGCTGCATCCCACTGGAAAAGTCACAGGGTTGTGTGTCAGATGGGGGGTAATGAGAAGCTGCTTATTCTGGCCTGAAGAACTTACTTAAAAAGTTACCCCCTTCTCTAGGCTATGAGGAGGAGTTCTTGCAAATCTATATCAATTTTGTATGGTCGTTACAAAAAAACAGAATAGAAAAAACAGTCAAAACCCCACAATTTTGCCTTCCCAAGAGTATCTCACTCATCCTCCTAAGGAAGACCGTCTTAAAGCCACCATGATGTAGCCATTACCATACAATAATTTTCTCTCTGCCTCTAGCAAAGCTATTCAACCATTTTCTGTTTAGGCCACTGTATTAACTTGACAAACCTAATGGGTTATATACATTGCAATTGCCCTGAGACCAGGAACAGTAACCCCATCAGTGTCTCCTGCCTCACGAGGAACCAGCATCAGTGCAGTGAGGAATCCAGAGAAAAAGATGAAGGTGAACAAAAAACCTTCTGGCCATGAGCTCCAAAGCAGGAGCCCAGTAAACTTGTTGGCATCACTAAAGCCAGGCAAATTCCTCACCAAAATAATAATGAATGAAATGCCACAAATATTTGCTCACAGAAACAGGGCTGTTTTATCCTGAATATGATTTAGGCAAATAACAGAGCACATGACTTTGTGGGGGCAGGAGTGCTGAAGAAAAGACAGAGAAGAGTCAAAATTCATGGAAAATAAGAAAAACTGGCAAAGGTTGGGCAGTTCCTTTGCTCAGACAGCCCTGCAGGGGAATTCAGTCCCATCAGGAAAAGGACCTCCATACTGCCTAATGAAGAGTTAATATCTCCTGGTAGGAAATGCAGTCATGAAGGGCAACAAGTTCACAGAGAGGAAGAAACACTCACAAGGAAACCAAGTCCTGTTTTCACTTCTTCAGCATTTACATCAAAACTCAAGGACTTTAGCCCTGGTTGCCACTCCCAAGCCCAACACCAGTGTGCCTGGGCTTGTACTGACTGGAAGTCAGTCATCCCTCTGCCTCTCCTCACAATGAGAGGGGCAGTCACTGGAAGCCTGATGCTCCTCTGCTTAAGCCCCACAGCTGACAGGTTTCACCTTGCAGGAATTTTTATGGCTGGAATGAACTTCATGCCATGATTTCTGGGCCAGCCTATTTCTCCTGGGCCTCTGGAATAAAGGAGGTGAAAACAACAGCCCTCAGAGAACAGAATCTCCTGAATGGATTTGTTCTAAGGCTGAATGAGCCACAGCTTGTGCATATAAAGGAGGTAAAAAGAAAAACCATCCTTAGTGCCAGGGATATAAAGAAGATACAGATAAATACTTGTCACCTATCCTGGCCTTACTTCTAACTTGCTTTCAGCTGAACTGCTTGGACCAGGTCACAGGCTTGATCCAAGATTTCCAGCTGAGGTAAAGAGGAAAAAATGGAAAATAAATGGCTGTGCAAAAAAGCTCTTGAATGTTCCTTAAATGGAAAATGCATGTCTTCTACAATCCAAAATAAATGCATTACATGCAAATCCCATTTTCCAAGCGCAACAAAGAGGTAATAAGGATAGTCCCAAATAAGCAAGAAGACCTGATTGTCAGCTACTGCAGATGGCTGTTTGCTCCAGATGAGATCCATCCCTGTGATTTTACAGTTATTACAGCTAAAACTCAATTGTCCTTTCTTCCTGACAGATTTTTTGGCAACCTCTTCCACCATCAGCAAGTGCTTCTCAAATCACCTCCCCATAGATTTATCAGCACCTGCTCCCCCTTCCAAAGGAGAAATACAGAAGTGAGGGCAACCCAGTTCCTCTCCTTGCTTTGCAATGTTTTGCCCTTTTGTTCCCAAGCCCATCATCTGCTCTTCAACAGCCAGAATCCTTTACGTTTTCCTTATGGCAGGTGCTTCCAGGAGACCATTAAATCACTACCATGTGTGAACACTTTCTTCTACAGATGCAACATGGTGGGTTGTGCTTGCGAGGTGGGATTTGAGCTGACTGTCCTTCACTTGGAGTGTCTCAGTGGAAGAACCATGTTTATTGACATTTGTTCAGCCCTGAGAAGAGCTCAACTGTAGATCACTGATGCATCTACAACACAGAGAATATGAAGCTCCCCTCACTCTGGAGCTTTGGTCTTAGATGAAGAGCCACAGTGAGCTTCTGCAAACATGACAAGATAGTGAGCACACCTTCAACTGTGGGCTTCTCAGACTAAAGAGCTGTTGTTCTGGAATTCCAACCAATCACTTCTGGAGATCACAAAATCACTGTCACCTGCTGTTCAAAAAGCCTCCTTGTGCCACACTTGTTGGAAGGCAAACCATGTCACACAGGGAAAGGGCACCTATGGGCCATGCACACAGCTAAAACTGCAGAGAGCTGAACTGCATCAGTAGCCAAAATCCTCTTTAGCACTTGTGAAGAAAAAAATTCCCACTTTAGGGTGCTACTTATTCCAAATGATAAACCAACACTGAGTCAGATCTGTGGTTTATTATTACATCAAGCAACCAACTGCATTTTTCTATCTGTAACTCACATCTCAAATCCTCTCTGTAAAAATCAACAGCAGTGGGGTGACTGGTAATGTACTTGAAGGTGAAGAGAACTAGTAAGGGTGAAATAGCTCTGGGATAAATTCCCTCCACTAAATTTCAGTTGGACTTTCTTGTCCTCTTTTGTTTTGACAGATTATCTGCAAGGTTCTGCATAAGAAGACTGAAATAGTTCTGCTTTTATCTCAGTCCACTCTGAGGGATTCAGTTGCACATGTAGAACTATTCAAAAGAGTTGTCAAGATTATTTATTGTGGAAAGAAGATTATCATAGATATTACATTCAGAAAAGCTTCGGAGTGGGTTATAGATGTGGTTGCTCAACAAATGTGCATTAAGTTGTATTGTTTTCATATTTTAGTACAGATTAACTGGAATAGGAAAACTTTTCAGTAAGAGCCAAGAATAGTTAATGTTCTACCAGATTGTTAACTCATACAGACTACTAGTCAAAGATGAAACAAGTGAAATTGCAAATTATATGTAACAGACCTGAGGGACAGATCTTAGAACAGCACTCAGGAATGCTATTCAACTCAAAAGGAATAAATTGTCTAAACATTATTTTTTGTAAATCTTGGGCTAAGTGACTCCTATATGAGTCATTCATTAGTAGTCTGTAATTTTATCTTCAGCTACAATTACAGTTTCAGCTGCTTCACATGAACAGAGATTTGCTTCCCTATCTCTCAGGTATCATTATGAAAGTCCCTTTTCAGAATGGACCCCTCTGTGTTGTTGTCATTTTGAAAGATTTAGCACCAGTGCTTATCTTCTGGAAAGATATTAATATATTATATTCTTCATGCTTCTTATCTAACTATAATCTTCTTTATCATACAAACTACCAATGAATTGAAAGGGCCTTCATTTCCGTCTTCCATATTAGCCTATTGGGAGATTTCTTTATGCAGGCAAACCTACAATTTTTAAATATTTCAATAGCCAACCTGTTCTCAGAGCACAATAAGACCCCTTCTCAGGCACTGGAGAGGTTTAGTTGAAAGAGCTAATGTTTCTTTAACTACTTCTTTAGAGGAAAGATATTAAACATGAGCATCTGCTCCATTAAATCAGCTTTCCAGCAGCAGTTCTTTGCAGCCTTCCACAATTCTCCTCTCTTGAGGCTGTTGCTTGTTTTCCCTGGCTTGGCCTGAGCTTGAAGCCCAACAGCTCCAAGTGCCCTGGGAGGCCTTGACAGAGTTAAATGATAAGCTCAGCTGGGGCAGACAAACTCAAGTGAAGCCCTTCCAAGGTGTGTACTAAGCACATTTCTCTTTTTCCCTGATACACCCAAGGCCAAACAGAAGACTGTTCAAACCTGGTTAGCTATTAAGAGCTGCTGGTTAATTGGTACTGATAAGGACTTCAGACTTTAGCTGATTAGGTCCATGAATTCGTTGTGCAGAGACAAAAGGCCTCAAGAGAAGTTTAAACAAGGGTGTGGGTTTTTCTGTTTAATTTTACCTGCTTAACTTAACACTGCCTTGTTCTCTCCCATGCTATATTATATTATTTCCATATCAAGGAAGGAGATGGAAAACATCTTAATGGTGACAAGGAGGTGAGTGCATGTATTTCTTCCTCATGAAATAGTTAAGACAGGTTACCTGTACTACTTCTTTGACCAGAGTCTTGTCAGTCCCAGTCTTGGCTCTCTGCAGGCCACTGACATCCTCTCCAATCCAAGTGATGAGGGCAAACTTGACTCGCTTGCTCATGGCATCACCGGTGGTGAATCGGACAAAGCCGAACAATCGAACATCATCTGGAGAGACAAAGGAAAAGCATACTATTAAAACCAGAAACATCCCTGCCATGACATTTTCTGGGGTGAGACAATTGCTCTCTACTTAAAAGACCAAGCCAAGGCACTGATCCTGTGTTAAAACAGCATCACTCTGGATTAACAGGGCAATACAGGAGCTCTGCTCATAGGCCCTTTGCTTGCCAGGCACACTTTGCCAGTGTTAGGTCTGCTTCTTCCTGGGGTGCTCTGAGTTACTGGGAGGAAACTGGCTGTGTTGGCCTCTCCACCCCACATTAGTGTGCTGCTAGTGAGTTTGTAAGTGGCTAAAATACAGTCAACAGGCACTTCAAGAGCACAGAGACAACCCCAGTCATCACACACTCAGCCAGATCATTTATCTGCAGGTCACTGGTCAAGAAGGGAAGAAAGTGATTTCCCAGCCTCTCTGTCTCTCACAGGATAGCAGGATTAGGGTCACATTCTATAACATATAGCAGACTGCCATTGTGCAAATCTGATCCTTTCTCATCCTTCCCTTCAGCAACATTTCTGGCTCATCTGTGGTATGAATTTACAAGAAGCAGGGAAGAAGAAGGAGCAAAAGAAAAACCTGCAATTACTTCCCCAGATGTGCTTTTCTACTCCTTCCAAAGCCCTGTAGAGAAAGGCCTTGGATTTTAAAACTGTTCTGATCTTTGTTTCACAGCTGGCTTCTGCTATATCCTGCCAGACTGGAGTTCCTTAGTCTGGCCATATGTGTAAAAACCTTGTAAACTCCTTATCTTGAAGAATTCATTCTTTCATTGCAGAGTGACTCATCAGCTGAGGCAGTTGGATGCCTTCATGATCACAGGCACTTAGGAAGCATGTGACACCATCCCCTCATGTCCCCAGCCTCAGAAGGATATATGATGCTGGAGCCTCCAACCAGGATTGTGCAGAAAATCAGACCAGATGGACAACTGTGCAATTGCAGAATATATCTAATCATAGCTACTTCATCTGTTACAGGTCACTCAGGACCTTTTTTAATAAAATGAGATGACTCAAAATAGAAGAACAAACTTGCTGGTTTAAAAGGAATCATGTTAATCCTAGTTACACTTGTTGTGACCAGTTCAACATGCTTTACAGTTATTTGTGGTCTTGACTACTGCCAGGTGAAAATGCAGGCTCCAGGTGTATTGATGTTTGCCAACATCCCATCCTTGGATCAACACGCTCCATGAATGGTCAGGACAGCACCAGGAGCTCTGGGGAAAGGGGAGAAGCAGTTCTAAATTGTTCATCCCCAGAAAATAAGCTGCTAGAAATCAGTGGGAAAAAAAGTGGGATTTCTCTGGAAGCTGACAGATCCCAGAGCTTCTTTGACACTTTGTTTTGCCAAAGTGTGAGTAAAGACAACTTCCCCTTGATCAAAGGTAAGACATTTTTAAGTCTGAAAGAAACCCCACCTATGCTCCTCAGTTTTGTTCTCCATGTACTTTTTTTGCCACTGACAGGACTACAGGAGAAAACTGCAAAATATACATGGGGTGTGTGAGAGCCAGTGTTTAAAACAAACTCCTCTGAAGATTTCAAAATTGAAACAGAGAAAAAGAGAGATATTATGCAAAAGAAAAATCCAGATGGATCTTTGGAAGGAGAGCAAGAGTTGTGTGTCAACAGTGCAGGCAAACAAAACTTCTCTCTCAGATACCCCATTACTGGCAAGTAGAAGAAATGCCCTGAGACTCCTGTTTCTGGCAGTAAATCCTCTTCCCAAGATTGATTAGAACCATAAATGAACCGACAGCCAGGAAATACCCAAGGTGAACAGAGACAGTAAATCCCCTAACGTTACTATTAACAGTTCTGTCAAAAAACCTTGCTTCCCCAGATCTGACAGCAAAGGAGGCCACGCTCTGCTAAGAATTGTACCGTGGTTCCCATGGGAACACAGTGCTGAAGGCACTTTAATGTCATCCAAGTCCTGGCCCCTACTATACAATAACCGTGTCACAGCCCTTCCCACAGACCCATCACTTTCCATCTTGACTGTGTAGGTTTTTCATCCCTGCCCCTTCTACCTAAGGTTGTTACAGATCCTGAAGACTGCTTTGGAATATGCCCCTTTACAGTAAAGGTAAGACACAAATATAATGGATGTGAAGAATTCCAAGTTTCTCTGCAGTGCTTTTTCATAGCAACATAGAAAGGAGGTTGAAGGAATTTATCTGTCAGCATGAACTTTAATTTGACATGAACCCCCAGATCACTGGCAGCAGCAGGATTTGCTTCTCAGCAGAATAGCTGGAGTGTTTTCCAGTCCTGTCTGAAAGCAGCCTGATCAGTGGCACCAAGAGTCAAACTCAGCAATTCCACATGGGCTTTTATCTATTAGATCACCTACTACTCAGTGACTATGAGTAACTCCTACTTCATCTTAAGTCCCAATAAGTTTAATGAGCAGTTGAAGTTAGGTCTGAGTCATCATCTTGGGCAGAATTTACCTGGGGCAGGTTTACCTGTGGGGGCTTGAAAGGTTCCACCTGAGCTGTGTGCTTTGTCCTCCTGCCTCCCCTGTATCCTCACAGGCTCTTCAGCTGCCAGTTTTGAGTCCAGTGTATTTAACAGAAACTAGCAATACATGATGCTTTAATTTCATGTGCCAGTCTGTGAATTGCAGCAGCTGAGGAGCATTTCAGCAGCTGCAGATAAAGCCAAGAGGCAAAGGGAATTGGAGCCCTTAGCAATTAACACATCTCTTTTTCTAAAAGGGCAACAGGGACAGATGTGGAGGTTCTTAATGCTAGTTCAGCCTGGCTATGAGCCCCTCCAACTGCAGGTCAAAAACCCTGAGCAGAAGTGGTTGAATTTCACAATGAGGCTGAAGCATGTTCAGAGAGATAAAGGGATCAAAACACAAGTTCCTTTATACTTCCAGATTTCCTCTTTCCCAGTTAATCGGTTCTACCCTGCCAGATCACCGCACTGCACTGGAAGTCATCAGTGCCATCAGTGCCAGCTGCCTTAGTAATCTCAAGGCATTAATAAACCCCCACCACCCCCTTTCCTCACCCATTTTCACACAAAACATTATAGTGGTTTTAGGAACTTGCTGTGTGTGTGGGGAGCCTAACAAATTAGAGAGACAGTGTATTTCTGAAGAAGAAGGAAATCCTCTGAAGGAGGAAATCCTGCTTAGCCCTACACAACCACCTTCCTAGTCACCAAGCCATGAATTTCAGAGGAGAGAGAATAATAGATTTGGTTAGAACAGAAATAGCAGCTTCATTTGAGAAGATTTCAAAAGTGAGAAACAGCAGAAGTTAACAATGTTAATTCCTAATAATATCATGACTCCTTTAACTACAGTTGTAGAGCATGACAATAGGACTATACAAACAACGAAAAGTACAATGAATGCCTTAATGAGCATCACTTAGTATTTTTTCTCCAAACCCCTTACTTGTAAGTAGGCAGGATTTTCCAAATACACTTATTAAGCTGCCCTTGGCTGTCAACAAAGCTCAATGCCAGGCTGCAGACATTTTCTTGATGGTATTCTGTTCTTCATCCACTCAAACCCCTTGGTTCAGCTGTACTAAAAAATTCCCCATTAGATTAAAATGCACTGACTCATCAGTAAAAGATAATAGCTGCAGGAAAGAAATACACTGACAAAAGCTTCATGGTTCTTACGTCTCCAGGCTCCAAACAACCAAGCCAGAAACATGCCAAGATAAGGCCACTGCT